AGTTTTTAATGATTCAATCACTTTAGCGGTTTTAAATGTTGACTTGATCTATTTATAGTATTAGGTATTGAGTATTGGTCTGATCGGTGCAACCGGCCGATCTGGTCCTATTTTTAAAACAATGGGTTAAATGCCTTATTTAGTCTCTGAATTTGAGTTTTGAATATTTTTGGTTCCTAGGCTATTTTTATTGCTTTTTTTTGTTCTTCAACTCTAAATATTACATTTTTTTCATCATTCTATACTCAGTTAAGTGATGATGTGAATATTAACTCATCTAAATATTTATTTTCCTTCAATTTTTTGATGACATGTCCATTATAAATGGATCGATTTAGTTTTTTTTTTTTTTTTTTAATCTTTTTTTGCATAATGAAGGGCAATACTCTCTTATCTTTTAACCCAACCTACCTATATTCCATGCAACTCAAGCTTAAGATCTTTTATTTCCATTGCAAAGATATTACTGCTTAGTTAATTAAGTCATTGGTGAGCCCCTAAGCTTAGACAAAATATGTGGTGTCCATTTTGGCAATTTTAGCTTTTATATATAAAATAATCAATTAAAAAGCTAAGAAAAATCTAACAATTAAATTCCTTTATAAATTAAAATATTTAAATTTACAAAATGATGAAAACAACCCTAAAATCTTTTCCTTTCTCCTTAGACTTCTTCTCCACTAAAAATATTTTTGGACACCAAGAGCCCATATAAGCTAATTTAATGAAGTGTGTCCAACAATAAGTGGCCTACGGACTCTCCTCATAAGAGACAGTGCCTGGACATTTAAATCTTGAATTCTAACTTAGGTAACTATCTTTTTTTCCCAATTTCCCCAGTGTCAAAAAATAAAATAAAATAAAATAAAGTGTTAATGGCACATTTTCAAAAAAAGATGCCATTTTAGATTGAGCTAATAGTCACATCAATTACTAAATTGATAGAAGGATGAAAAAAAGTACAATTTGTAGAGTTAAAGAAATAAAAAAAGTGTTGAAAATAATTCAAGGACAAAACCAATACAAAATGCAAAATTTAGAGACTGAAAATTGACATTTAACCAAATCAAAATATAACACTTCTTGGAAAAGTTTGGCTATTTCTAACTTATACATCCATCTCTGGGACTGGTACTATTTGCACCACTGGTCTCAGCCGGTTTCATGGAATTTGCGAAGGCATGGCAACGTATAACGTGGGGCAACAAAAACTGCAGAGGACAGATAAAATATATTAGAGACGGTTGAAAGTACTTCCATCATGAAGAAGAATACACAGTCCAGCTGACAATACATGAAAATTAGTACAAAATTTTCCATTCAGTAGAGAAGGTGATAAACAACCAAATTGTTAAAAGATCTAAAGGCAATAAAATAAAACTTGATATAGTGTCTTCTACGGAGAGGGAACCAATCTAGCTTGCATGGCAATGGTATTCAATTTAAGAAGTAAACTCAAATATACTGATTGACCTAATTTATTAGGATAGTCGCCCAACACCTCCACATGGACCTAAAGCTCGATCCTGCGTCTATTGAATAAAGAGCCTTTAGTGAGAAAACCATTCACGCGCAGACAAATGGACCAATGGGAGGTCTCCTTTATGTGTGTCATAAATAAAATTATAAACACTCACAATTACGGTTGAAGGTAATTAACCTTTATTTTCCATCCTGCGTCTATTGAATAAAGAGCCTTTTAGTGAGAAAACCGTTTACGCGCAGACAAATGGACCAATGGGAGGTCTCCTTTATGTGTGTCATAAATAAAATTATAAAGACTCACAATTACTGTTGAAGGTAATTAGCCTTTATTTTTCAGTCGAGCGATTTTTTTTTATTTTTATTTGATTACATAATAAAAAATAATATTTTTTTATATTTTATCTCATTCCACCAACATATTATAATTTTTTTATCTTAATTATATAATGAAAAACAATTATATCGTATTTTTTATACCATCCTATCAACATACAATACGATTTGAATCATGAATTCATGTTATCTTATTTATAACCGGAAGGAGGTTCCTCTCTAGAGTTTACATATTATTGTTGATTTAAACATTAAATTATTTTCCTTCATTAAGCTTTGCAGGTCATCAAAAGACACCCGTTACTACGAGCTCATATTGGAACCCGCTTAGTGGCCCGTACTTGACCTGCCATAAACATAGAGCGCATGTGCAAGCTACCGAGCAAATATTTAACACCACGTACTTAGGCCCATCAATATGAAATAAGAAATATGGGAAACACACATACATATATATATATAGTAGTAACATTAAGACCTGTTTGATTAACAATTAAAATTTAATAGGTAATGAATAATAGTAATGAGTAATGGACAGCAGTTAGCAGATAACTTGTGGTAGATAATAAAAATTAGATAGTGAAT